TGTAGCTATTGTGAATGGGATTGATCTTAGAAGTTCTTCTTCAGCCATGGCATTGTCTGTGTATACAAAGGCTGTTGATTTTTGTGCATTGATTTTATACCCTGCTACTTTGCCAAACTCTTCTATGAGTTCCAATAGTCTCTTAGTAGAGTTCTTTGGGTCCCCTAAATAAAGAATCATGTCATCTGCAAAGAGGGATAGTTTGAGTTCTTCCTTCCCAATTTGTATCCCTTTAATTTCTTTTTCTTGCCTAATAGCTCTGGCTAGAACCTCCAGAACTATGTTGAATAGCAGTGGTGAGAGTGGGCATCCCTGTCTGGTACCAGATCTCAGTGGAAATGCTTCCAACTTTTCCCCATTCAATAGGATGTTGGCTGTGGGTTTCTCATAGATTGCTTTGATTGTATTGAGGAATGTTCCTTCCAAACCCAGTTTGCTTAGAGTTTTCATCATGAACGGGTGTTGTATTTTATCAAATGCTTTCTCGGCATCTATTGAGATAATCATATGGTTTTTCTTCTGCAGTCTGTTAATGTGGTGTATCACATTGATTGTCTTGCGCACATTAAACCATCCCTGGATACCAGGGATAAATCCCACTTGGTCTGGGTGGATGATCTTTCTGATGTGTTGTTGCATTCTATTGGCGAGAATTTTATTGAGGATTTTTGCATCTATGTTCATCAGGGATATTGGTCTGTAATTCTCTTTCAGTGCTGCATCTTTTTCCAGCTTAGGAATTAAGGTGATGCTGGCTTCATAGAAAGAATTTGGGAGGATTCCCTCTTCTTTGATTGTTCTGAATAGTTTCAGAAGAATTGGAGTTAGTTCTTTAAATGTCTGGTAGAATTCAGCAGTGAATCCATCTGGTCCTGGGATTTTCTTTGTTGGGAGGGCCTTTATTACTGTTTCAATTTCTGTCTCAGTTATGGGTCTGTTTAGGTTTTCGATGTCTTCCTGGTTCAATTTAGGTAGGTTGCATGTGTCCAGGAATCTATCCATTTCTGATAGGTTTCCCTGTTTGCTGGCATACAAGTCCTTGTAGTAATTTCTGATGATTCTTTTTATTTCTGTGGTGTCTGTTGTTACATTTCCTTTTTCATCTCTGATTTTATTGATTTGGGTCTTTTCTCTTCTTTTTTTAGTTAGTTGGGCCAATGGGGTGTCAATTTTGTTTATTTTTTCAAAAAACCAGCTCCTCGTTTGGCTGATTTTTTGGAATGTTTTTCTTGATTCAATCCTGTTGATTTCTTCTCTGATTTTAATTATTTCTCTTCTCCTACTAGATTTGGGTCTGGTTTGCTGTAGGTTTTCTAGATCCTTGAGGTGAATAGAAAGCTCATCTATTTGGTGCCTTTCCAATTTCTTGATGTAGGCACCTATTGCTATAAACTTTCCTCTTAACACTGCTTTTGCTGCGTCCCATAAGTTTTGGTATGTTGTGCTGTTATCCTCATTTACTTCCAGAAAGTTTTTGATTTCTCTTTTGATTTCTTCTATGACCCATTGTTCATTCAGGAGCATGTTGTTCAATCTCCATGTTTTTGCATATGCTCTAGGCATTCCTGAGTTGTTCATTTCCAACTTCATTCCTTTATGGTCTGAGAAGCTGCATGGTATGATTCTAATTCTTTTGAATTTGCTGAGACTTGCTTTATGGTCTAGTATGTGGTCAATCCTAGAGAAGGTTCCATGTACTGCTGAGAAGAATGTAAAATCTTTAGCTGTAGGATTGAAAGTTCTGTATATATCTGTTAGATCCATTTGGGCTGTAGTGTCGTTTAAATCTGCTGTATCCTTGTTGATCTTCTGTCCTATTGATCTGTCTATTTCTGAGAGTGGAGTATTGAAGTCCCCCAGTACTATTGTATTGGGGTCTAAGTCTCCCTTTAAGTCCGTTAACAAATCTTTTAGATAAACCGGTGCCCTGTAGTTAGGTGCATATACATTGATAATTGTTATATCTTCCTGTTGAATTGATCCCTTAATCATTATGTAGTGTCCCTCTTTGTCTCTCTTAATGGTTTTTGTGGTAAAGTTTATGGTGTCTGATATTAAGATGGCTACGCCTGCTCTTTTTTCATTTCTGTTGGCATGGTATATCTTTTTCCAGCCTTTCACTTTCAGTCTGTATGGATCTTTGTTGGAAAGATGTGTTTCTTGTAAGCAGCAAATAGATGGGTTTTGTTCCTTAACCCAATCAGCCAAACGGTGTCTTTTAACTGGACAGTTCAGGCCATTCACGTTCAATGTGACTAATGATAAGTGGTAACTTTGCCCTGCCATTTGCCAAAGATAAGTTCTAATATATGCTTTGAATTCCCTGTGATCTTTTGCTGTGAGCTTTCCTTCCTTGGTTTCCTTCCTTTACCTTCTTTCATATTGATGACCGTGTTTCTTTGTTTCTGTGTGTAACACATCTTTAAGCATCTTTTGCAGGGCTGGACGAGTGGCAACAAATTCTTTCAATTTCTGTTTGTTATGAAAAGTCTTTATTTCACCGTCATTCACAAATGATAGCTTTGCAGGATATAATATTCTGGGCTGGCAGTTTTTCTCTCTTAGTACCTGGGCTATATCTCGCCATTCCCTCCTAGCTTGTAGAGTTTCTGATGAGAAGTCAGCTGTGAGTCTGATTGGAGATCCTCTGAGAGTAATCTGACATTTCTCTCTTGCACATTTTAGGATCTTTTCTTTATGTTTCACTGTGGAGAGTTTAATTACAACGTGTCGTGGTGAGGATCTCTTTTGGTCGTGTTTATTAGGGGTTCTGTGAGCTTCCTGTACTAGGATTTCTCTGTCCTTCTCCAAACCTGGGAAGTTTTCTGCTAATATCTCACTAAAAAGGCCTTCTAATCCTTTCTCCCTCTCCATGCCTTCAGGAACTCCTAGAACCCGAATGTTGGGTTTTTTAATAGTATCCTGAAGATTCCCGACAATATGTTTTAGATTTCTAATTTCCTCGTCTTTTCTTTGGTCTGACTGTATCCTTTCCTGTTCTCTGTCTTCTAAGTCTGATATTCTCTCTTCTGCTTCTCCCATTCTGTTTGTAAGGCTCTCTATTGTGTTTTTCATTTGATCTATTGAATTCTTCACTTCAGTCACTATCCCAGTTTCCTGTTGTACTAGTTGTTTCGTTTCATTTTGATTCCTCCTTAATATTTCATTTTCACGAGAGAGATTTTCTATCTTGTCCATTAAGGATTTCTGTAGTTCAAGAATTTGTTTTTGAGAACTTCTTAATGTTCTTATCAATTTTTTGAGATCTGCTTCTTGCATTTCTTCTATGTCATCATCCTCATAATCTTGAATTGGGGTGTCTTTTTCATTTGAGGGCTTCATGGTGACTTCCTTGTTTTTATTACCTTGGTTTTTGCGTTTGTTATTTGTCATATTGGAGATATTTGGTTTCTTCACTGTGGTGCTTTTTCTTGTTATACTATGACTCTAGATTAAGTGGACTATCTGTTTTTGATGGAGCCTTAGGGCTTGAGATGGGTGTGGCCTGAGAGCTCTGTTAGGTGTGCCAAAGGTGACACTCCCAGGTTGGGCGTGGTAAACCTCTCTCTCTCTCTCTCTCTCTTTTTTTTTTGATTCAAAAGGGAAGTTATTCTGCACAGCTGAACGAAGTTGGAGGTAGTTAGCAGGCAAATGATATACCCACAGGAGCCAGAGATCGGAAGCTCTTTCCCAAGGACCACACAGGGAATCTGTTCGGCCCTCGGAGTGGGCTCAAATTCTCCTTCAGTCTCCCACTGGGTTGCCAAAGTTACGGAATTGTAGCGTCTCTGGAGAGTGCTCACGTGAATTCCGTGAGTTCTCTCCCCCACCGTCTCTTTTTTCACAGTCTCAGTTCAGTAGCACCACAAATTTACTAGGTCCTAATCTCCTGTTAATTCGCCCCACCCAGAGTCAGGTTTTTCTGCTAGGCTCAGGGCTGGTGCAGACCTGAGGTCGCTCTGCTTATGACGTATGTCCAAGATGGCGCCTGCTCTTTGTCTTGCTCGCCCTTGAGAGGTGAGCGGAGAGAGAGAAACCCGTGTCCATACCAGTCACCTTTTTTTTTTTCCCTCTCTCTCTCTTCCAGTTAACTTGGTGAAGTCCCCCCCCCCGGGGGTCGTTCCCTCTAGTCTCCTCTCTCCGCTTGCCTGCCGGTGTCTCGGGTTATTGAGGTTCGGCTCACCTCGCGTTCCAGCGCTGGTGTGTCGAGTCTGCCGCTGGTGTCCCGAACTGTGGGCTCCCACGCTCTCCACGCAGGTCTGCTCCCCTTCCAGCACCGATGTGTGGACTCGGAGCCCTGGACGTCCCAAGTCTCCCCGCTGTTGCACTCCCCTTCGAGCACTTGTGCGCAGACCCTGCAGGTTGCGCAGCTCAGTCCCGCGGCTCGGCTTCCGCGGCTCGGCTTCCGCGGCTCGGTCCCGCGGCTCGGCTTTCGCGCGCGGTGGGTGACCTTGTTCTCCTAGTAGGTCCTCCGATTCATGCCCACTGGATCCAGAAGAGTTTCGTCTGCAATATTTTCCTGTTTCTTTTTTCTGAGGCTACCGTAACTCCCCTTCTATTAAACTAAATTTTCCAGGACTATTGGTGCGCGCCCTCACTATTCCGCCATCTTGGCTCCGCCCCCCAATTTCTTTCTTTTTTTAACAGAAGATCAGTTTAGTATGCATTAAGTAAAGATTTCAACAGTTTGCACCCCCATAGAAACACAAAGTGAAATATATTGTTTGAGTACTCATTATAGCATTAAATCTCAATGTACAGCACATTAAGTACAGAGATCCTACATGAGGAGTAAGTGCACAGTGACTCCTGTTGTTGACTTTACCAATTGACACTCATGTCTATGGCATCAGTAATCTCCCTATGCTCCAGTCATGAGTTTCCAAGGCTATGGAAGCCCTCTGAGTTCTCCGATTCTTATCTTGTTAAGACAAGGTCATAGTCAAAGTGGAGGTTCTCTCCTCCCTTCAGAGAAAGGTACCTCCTTCTTTGAAGACCTGTTCTTTCCACTGGGATCTCACTCACAGAGATCTTTCATTTAGGTTTTGTTTTTTGCTTTGTTTTTTTCTTTCTTTCTTTTCTTTTCTTCTTCTTTCTTTTCTTTTCTTTTCTTTTTTTTTTTTTTTTTTTTTTTTTTTGCCAGAGTGTCTTGGCTTTCCATGCCTGAAATACTCTCATGGGCTTTTCAGCCAGATCCGAATGCCTTTAGGGCTGATTCTGAGGCCAGAGTGCTGTTTAGCAGGACATCTACCATTCTGAGTCTGCTGAGTATCTCGCTTCCCATGTTGGATCACTCTCCCCTTTATTCTATCGGTTAGTGTTAGCAGGCACTAGACTTGTTTATGTGCTCCCTTTGACTCTTAGTCCTTTCATTATGATCAATTGTGAACTGAAATTGATCACTTGGACTAGTGAGATGGCATTGGTACATGCCACCTTGATGGGATTGAATTGGAGTCCCCTGGTATGTTTCTAACTCTACCACTTGGGGCAAGTCAGCTTGAGCATGTCCCAAATTATACATCTCTTCCCTCTCTTATTCCCACTCTTATGTTTAACAGGGATCACATTTCAGTTAAATTTCAACACTTAAGAATAACTGTGTATTAATTACAGAATTAAACCAGTCATATTAAGTAGAACAGACAAAAAAACTACTAAGAGGGATAATGTATTAAGTTGTTCATTAACAGTCAGGGCTATGCTTATCAAGTCACCGTTTCCCATAGTGTCCATTTCACTTCAACAGGTTTCCTTTTAGGTGCTCAGTCAGTTGTCACCAATCAGGGAGAACATATGGTATTTGTCTCTTTGGGACTGGCTTATTTCACTCAGCATGATGTGTTCCAGATTCCTCCATTTTGTTGCAAATGACTGGATTTTGTTGTTTCTTACTGCGGTATAGTATTCTAAAGAGTACATATCCCATAATTTCTTTATCTAGTCTACCGTTGATGGGCATTTAGGTTGGTTCCAGGTCTTGGCTATTGTGAATTGAGCTGCGATAAACATTAGGGTGCAGACCGCTTTTTTGTTTGTCAATTTAAATTCCTTTGGGTAAATTCCAAGGAGTGGGATGGCTGGGTGGAACGGTAGGGCTATATTCAGGTTTCTGAGGAATCTCCAGACTGACTTCCATAGTGGCTTGACCAGATTGCATTCCCACCAACAGTGGGTTAGTGTCCCTTTTTCCCCACATCCTCGCCAGCATCTGTTGTTGGTAGATTTCTGAATGTGAGCCATTCTAACCGGGGTGAGGTGAAACCTCATTGTGGTTTTGATTTGCATTTCCCTGATTGCTAGTGACCTTGAACATTTTTTCATGTGCCTGTTGTCCATTTGGATTTCCTCTTTTGAAAAATGTCTATTGAGGTCCTTGGCCCATCTCTTAAGTGGGTTGTTGGTTTTGTTTTTGTGGAGTTTCTTGATCTCTATGTAGATTCTGGTTATTAACCCTTTATCTGTTGCATAGTTTGCAAATATTTTTTCCCATTTTGTCGGTTGTCTCTTCACTCTCCTGACTGTTTCTTTTGCAGTACAGAAACTTTTCAATTTGATGCAATCCCAATAGTTGATTTTGGCTTTGACTGCCTGTGCCTCCCGGGTCTTTTCCGGAGATTTTTTGCCTGTGCCAATATCTTGAAGGGTTTCTCCAATGTTCTCTAATAACTTGATGGTGTCAGGTCGTAGATTTAGGTCCTTCAGTCTCCCACTGGGTTGCCAAAGTTATGGAATTGTAGCGTCTCTGGAGAGTACTCACATGAATTCCGTGAGTTCTCTCCCCCACCGTCTCTTTTTTCACAGTCTCAGTTCAGTAGCACCACAAATTTACTAGGTCCTAATCTCCTGTTAATTCGCCCCGCCCAGAGTCAGGTTTTTCTGCTAGGCTCAGGGCCGGTGCAGACCTGAGGTTGCTCTGCTTATGACGTATGTCCAAGATGGCGCCTGCTCTTTGTCTTGATTGCCCTTGAGAGGTGAGCAGAGAGAGAGAAACCCGTGTCCGTACCAGTCACCTTTTTTTTCCCTCTCTCTCTCTTCCAGTTAACTTGGTGAAGTCCCCCCCCCGGGGGTCGTTCCCTCTAGTCTCCTCTCTCCGCTTGCCTGCCGGTGTCTTGGGCTATTGAGGTTCAGCTCACCTCGCGTTCCAGCGCTGGTGTGTTGAGTCTGCCGCTGGTGTCCCGAACTGTGGTCTCCCACGCTCTCCACGCAGGTCCACTGTGAATCACGCATTCCGGAAGAGTTTCTTCTGCTATTTCCTCCCCTACTCTTCCTTGAACCTGCAGTATCTCCACTTTTATTAAACTGTCTCTCCCCGGACTATCAGTGTGCTCCCTTCCTACTCCGCCATCTTGCGTCCTCCCTATCCAACTGAATCTTTTTAAAACCCTTGGAATATGAAACTTGAGTTCTCATTTCTTACATGTAAAACACATCAGATATTCCATGAAGTACATGCCTTGACCAATCCCTGTAACTAATAGCTCAATGAAGATTCAATCTTCCTAAGTGTCTTCTAATAACATTCTTACGTTTTCTGAGAGTCAAGATATGAATTTACACTCAGGCTATGTAAACTAAACAGGACTTCAGCAGGGAACAGAAATTACACATCAAGTATACACATACCGAAAAGTAAACAGTACAAAGAGATGAACTTTACTGTAATTATTTCTAGAAAGAGAAAATTATCAGCATGTCTATTTCTCAAGGGGGGAAGAGAGGGAAGGAGTAAGGAGAGGTCAGGGCAAAGGGGCCATGGAGAGAGGGGACAGTTAGTTCTCTGAAGGCACTTAGCTCACTGGCCAGGCACAGGATAAGAGGTCAGCAAATGACCATGTATGGTACATCCGTACGTTGGAGTGAGTCCTCTATAAGGACATAAACAGTATGGTCAGAACCAAGAAAAACACATCAGGTATCATTAAGGCCACGGTAGGTTTGTTTGGAAGATCTACTGGAATCAAATCATTTTACCAGTGGACCTCAGAATACCGGAGTCATGTGAAGTACAGAAAACTGATATCTAAACTATAAAGTGATTTGCCTGTCATTACAACATAAGGACTGCCATGACAGAGATGATCTCCTTAATAAAACTTAATAAAAAACTCACAATTCAACTGTGCTGCTCAGTAACTTGCAGCAAGTTCTTTTGAGCAGAAACACATAAAGTCATTTAAGAATAATTACTGCTAGCGATTTGGACTGTACATTAAGAGCTCTGTGTTGTGGAAAGAAGCAGCCATCAAAGAAGGATGTACTTTTCTCTGACAGGAGGAGAGAACTTCCACTTTGCTCATGGTCTTGTCTAGATACTAATGGGGACTGTGGATTCAAATGCCTTCCACAGCCTCGGCAGCTCATGGCAAGAGTCTTGGGTGGTCACTGACATCATACATAAGAATGTATGACAACAGGAGTCACTGTGCACTAACTTCCCATGCAGGACCTCTGTCCTCACTGAGTTGTATTAGGAGAGTTAACTGTAAAACTTGTTCTCCAATAGTTTTTTTAAAATATTGTGTGTATGTGAGTGTGCAAATTGTTACAATCTTTGCATAATATAGAGTTGGTCTTCTGTGTATAAAGTTAACCAAAAACAAATCTTAATGGAGAATAGGACTGGGAATGGGAGAGAGAGGAGGTGCAGTGGAAGTGGGGGTGGGAAGGCAGGTATGGTGAGAACAATCACTATATTCCTGAAGTTGTACTTATGAAATTTGTACTTACTAAATAAAAGTTTTTTTAAAAAAAGTTCTGTGTTTTAGTTACAAATACTATAAATAGTGGTAAATGATATATAAATGTAAAATTCTAATATATTTAAGATATATACACATTTATTAAATATTCCACATAAAATACTGCATTATATATATATATATATCTTTTTCATTATCTTTTGCAGATAATTTGATTCTATAGAAATTAACTGAATTCCAGTTAGAATGGTTATGTGGTGAAATTTAACCTAAATCTTAAGACTACATTTGCAAATCAAAGATAGGTTTCTGGGGCTTGGCATTGTGGCAGAGTGGGTTAAGCAGCCCTGTGCAATGCCAGCAAACCACCTGGGCATCGGTTCCAGTCCTGGTTGCTCCACCTCTGATTCAGCTCCCTTCTATTGTGCCTGGGAGAGCAGTGGAAGGTGGCTCAAGTCTATGTGCCCCTGCACCCTTGTGAGAGACCCAGAGTGCCGGGCTCCTGGCTATGACCTGGCCTAGCCCCCACCCATGTGGCCATTAGGAGAACAAACAAGCGAATATACAATCTCTTCATCTTTGTCTCTCTGAAACTCTGCCTTTGAATTAACCAAATTTTTTTAAAGATATATTTATTTATTTAAAAGTCAGAGTTACACAGAGAGAGGAGAAGAAGAAAGAGAGAGAGAGGTCTTCCATCCAATGGTTCACTCCCCAATCGGCTCCAACAGCCAGAGCTGTGCCAATCTGAAGCCAGGAGCTTCTTCCGGGTCTCCCACAGGGGTGCAGGAGCTCAAAGACTTGGGCCATCTTCCATTGCATTTCCAGGCCACAGCAAAGAGCTGGATGGGAAGTGGAACAGCTGGGTCTTGAACTGGTGCCCATGTGGGATGCCAGTGCTTCAGGCCAGTGCGTTAATCTGCTGCACCACAGTGCCTGCCCCAAATAAATATTTTTTTAAATAGGTTCTTATAAAATTCTCAAAGTCAGATTTGAACAAAGGGTACTTCCTAAGCTGGGGCTCTGCTTACACACTGACTTGTAACAGAAAAGGTATTCGCATTCCCGCCAGCACAGGCAGCACTGGGAGGAAGAAGCGTGCAAGCCGAGAGCAGGAACCTCGAGGTCGACAGCAGTGGAGATGTATGACGACAAGATTCGTTAAGGTCACCACCGTTCCTGCACTGCAGAAGCCCACATGCCCAGGTTAACACAAAGGATTTCCAAAAGAGGAACATGATCAACTCACAGTGATTTCAGGGGTAACACAGTCAAGCGACTATTACTGATAGACTCAATAAACTACAACTCGATCCACACCACTGACCAAACGCACGGAAAATTTCTTAATAGACGCATGCCTCTCACATGCTCACAAGGGACAAGAAAGAACAAATTGTGAAGGGCGTTCTTAGCCTTTCAGACTTGGTTGCTCTGACATGCAAACCACAGCCTCATCATGGAGCCTCTCCCTTCAGCATACAAAGCATGTGCCTGGGGTTATCCATAGTCCTCCTTTCCTTCTCTTCAACTGTCTCCTACGGCTACTAAGCCTTTGACACAAGAAAAAAAAAGATCTATTTGTATAACAAAATCAACTCTTGATTTCCCCATCTTCTAAAGATTAAAAATTTGCAGATGCTGGAGGATGAAGGAGAGTTGGCAAACTCCTTTTTCTAGTTAGTACTTCTCTAACTTTATGGATGCCACCTGAGGCTTCAGAGTGGGGTTCAAGATACCCACACAGGAAGGGGTGTCCAAAAAGCTTATGAAGATGCATATTATGAACAAAACGGTGCATGGACTCCCAAGGCGTCTCGCACCCAAGTAAGCTTATCTTTTCCTTTCATTTGCCCACAAACCATCGAAAGCCCTCCCTTGCCCAAGGACTTCCTGTTTAGGCAGGTACTGGTATTTGTTCCTTTGTTTTATCTCATTAGAGCGAGAAAGGCCAAGCTGTGTCCTCTGTGACACTGGCCTGGGTCTCCTGGCCCCTCCTTCCCGGTGCTCTCCTCAGCCTGATGGTGATGCCTCAGGGAGGCGGCCTGGGAAACCATCCGCTGAACTGTCATTCGGAAGTGGTTTACCTGGTGATGCCTCCAACTATCACTCCCCGTCAACTCCCCCCACACACTCCACCTTCCTCTCAATGTTTCTGTGTGTAGTAAATACAGGGGAAAGTGGACGTTTGATCCTGTGGAACAAGGAACCCTATTCTCCGTCTCCACCTGTGCTTGCTTAGGTTAACACAGGACCAACCCGATTAAAAACAGAAACAAAACTGGGAAGATCTCCCTGTTGGCCTGAGTGCAAGAATGCACAATGCATTACCAGCACAGGATAGGTCCTGGAAGGTGCTGAGAATGGCCACAGTGTCTGTTCCTGAAATGCATTCCTGCCCAGAAGCCTGGGGGACAGCAAGTGACCGTTCCCCCCACTCCTGCAGGTCACCCTGTGATATGCTGCATTCCGTTCACATTCTACAGTCAGCACCCACATTCTATCAGGCCCTCCAGACTTCACCCCCTTTAAAGATAACACAAGGTTCTGCAGGTTGGGCAAATAAAAACACTCAAGAAAGTATACGTAACAGCTCCACCTACGACCATTAATGGTACAACGAAGTCCCTTCTCTTGGTTAGAGATGCAGCTTGTCCCACAAATGACAGCAGTGGGATGTACACAGTCTAAAACAGAAGAGCGAGAGGTGCAGCATTGCGAGCTCAGCTCAGTGGCTGGGCTCCGCGTGGGAGCACCTGCCACACACCGTCAGGAATGCCTAAGCAACGAACAATCTCACAGCATTACTTACCATCCCTTGATGTAGTCAAGGAAAGAAACTTCCGTTTCTACCAAGAAGGAGCGTAACATTACCTGGAAAAGAAACCCAGAATTAGCTCTAGCAGAACTAACTGTAACCCCGAAGGACATTTTTCCCCTAAAGGACACAGAGAAAACCCTACTTCCTAGCGTTTGGAAAAAGCACTAAATATATGATAGTTTATTAAAATCTGCTAGGACTGACTGCTCTTACGTTGAAAATTAGCAGAAGAGACTGGACCAGAAAAGAAGAAAAAATTAACTCCTTTCTATGACCAGTTTTCTCGCTTTGAAGAACAGCTTGAAAATTGTCTAAGAGGACACTGTGCTCCTTCTGATTTTAGATCAAAGGGGAGATGAAAGGGCGCTGGAAAATGGTTCAAACTGAAAACCCAGAGTCAGTGAGCCACCCTGCAGAGGGAGGGGCCCGGCGCTTCTGACTCGGCTCTGTGCACGATCATCTACCCTGTGGGTGTCCTGCCTCTCGGGAATCCTTACACAGGAACGCAGAGAAAACTCAGATTTTGCCTCTCCAAAGGAAAGTTAATCTCGGGGGGAAAATTTCAGTATTTTATTACTCAATAAGATGATTTCTTTTTTTTTAACACAATTTTCAGATACATTCGTCTTTGCACCCTACTGCACTGATTTAGCACAGCATCCATTCCCACAGTTGTAACGCTTAATGCATTATCAACAAGCACCTTCACACCCGTAAAATAAATCTACTTAACAGTTAAGGGAAACATTAAGGGTATGGTCTTTCTACCTTTTTTAAAAAATTTTATTTGACAGATATAGTTAGACAGAGAGAGAGAGACAGAGAAAAAGGTCTTCCTTCCGTTGTTCACCCCCCACCACAATGGCAGCAACAGCCGGAGCTACGCTGATCTGAAGCCAGGAGTCAGGCGCTTCTTCCTGGTCTCCCATGTGGTGCAGGGCCCAAGTACTTGGGCCATCCTCCATTGCCCTCCCAGGCCACAGCAGAGAGCTGGACTGGAAGAGGAGCAACCAGAACTAGAACCTGGTGCCCATATGGGATGCTTGCACCACAGGCAGAGGATTATCCAAGTGAGCCATGGCGCCGGCCCCAGGTCTTTCTAAATATGACTTGAACTTTTCCATGTCTGCCTGATTCTCTGTACTCTGACTCCACTGAAGAACACATGAGCTTCCCTCCAGGAACTCAGCCCACAGGAGGACCTGCAGGAAGCCAGGCCACCAGCCCCAGCGGGTGTGCTCCCCTGTGATCACTCCCTAGGCAGGCGACTCCTGTGTCATGTTCACAGTGCAATCCTACGTGAAACAAAGCCCCAGTCTTACTTGTTTCCAGCCTGATTTAAAATGTCCACTTGGGCTTTATTCATTAATTTTAATGTTTAATGGGTAACACAAAAATTGACTTACTGTTCCAGAATTCGTATACTTTTTCTTTTTTCCTTTCTTTTTGGGATTCACCACCTAAAAAAACTGATGAAACAATTCAAACCCATTAGGTAATTTTGAAGACGGTAGTTTAATCGGCTGCCTTGGCGTCTGGTGCAGGTATTGCTTTACAAATGCTTTGAGGACTCCTGGCCAGTTATCTGGGCACTGCTTCTCTGCACACTTGCTGGGGAGCCTCGGGAAAGAGAGCTTCATTTGTCAGAGGTACTCTCCTCACTCACTTGATGCACTGAGCATCTTTTACCATCTGCTTCTTGGGAACAGGTTGTTAACATCCAAGGCCCACAATAATTATTATTACTTTCTAGAAAATTTAAAGTGATGCATATCTAAGAAATGTAGCTTGTTAGAATTAAATACCCTAACACAACAGATCACCCAACGTGTGAATATCTAAGAGGTTTACCAACCTATCAATTGCTTCATCATGTTAGTAATTTCCATGGAATGCCCATACTACCTAGTAGGTAGTCTATTTTATTGACACAAGACTGATTTTTTTTTTTTGACCATTGGTTTCGCGAAGAAGTATCAATGCAGTATCAATGCACTCCTACATTTGAACAAAATTGAAGGCACCAAGGAACAAGAGAGTGCCACCTGTCAATCTCACAGGATCAATAAAATACAGTAGTGCCTTAAGAGGCTCTGCCAGCTCTTCTCAACCCACAGCATGGGGACAGCACTTGACCGGGAAAGAAAGATGAAAGACTTTATGAGTAAGTACTATTTGAGCCAGAATTTATTAACGTAAACCAGGGTTCCAATAAAAATGAAATGAACAAAGACAGCAGTCTAGAAAGGGTTTGACTGAAACAGAGGTCACAGACAAACAGATTCAAAATGAGTCTGAAAAAGTGAGCGGGAGCCATGTTGAGGAGATCCTAAATATCAGAGCGCAGGGTTGGGACGCTCTTCAACTGAGGTTTCAACCAGAGCACGGTCTACTCAGTCGACAGCACAGAGATCCACGCAGAGAAACTGGAGACAACAGTCAGGATTCTATTTCTAACCACCTATGAAGAGGTAACGAGGCACTGGATAAAGCAGTGCCAGGAAGCCTGGCTCCCAAGGAGAACTCAGAAAACAGATTAAACCGGATTAGGACCACCACTACAGAGGGCCTATGTCAGCTGTACTTCATATGTCTGCCTCTCCCATTACACACTGACATTTTCTAGTCATCTTTGTATCCCCAGAGGGATACACAAAATATGGACTATGGAAGACATTTAGTAATTTTTACAAGTGTACAAATTAGTGTGTGGAATACTTAGTGCAGTAAGAAGGTGGTAGGTGAAGGAGACTCCTTCACTTTTAACTTAAAAGAGGCCAATTTTAATGTCCACTCGGCAGAGAAAGGTTATTATTCTTGACGAAACACTAATAATAATATTTTCCTTTGACCTCCACAAGTATTAAATTATAGGAATATAGCAATACCACAGCTCAAGGATGAACAGTGCTAAACTATGCCAGGTGTCCCAACACATGCTTGCTGATCAACTAGTGGAGCGCTTTAAGGCAGAAGTAACTACTGTGGACTTGCTTTAATAAATGGATTTTTTTAAGATTTATTTATTTCAAAGGCAGAGACATACAAAGTGAGGAAGAGACGGAAAAAGAGATCTCTTCACTAGTTCGTTCCCTAAGCCAGGAGCCAGGAACTCCATCCTGGTCTCCCATATGGGAAGTGGGCCCAAGTACTTGAGCCATCCTCTACTGCATTCCAGGCCCATTAGCAGGGAAGTGGATCAGAAGATCAGCAGGGACTTCACTGGCATTTCAAATAAGGGCGCCAGAGGTGTCACAAGCAGCAGCTCAATCCAGGGCCACACTGCAGGCCCCAGCATGATTTCTTATTGACTGTGCATGGCCTTGTCACTCCCTCTAGTTTGCACGTGAATGAGAGCGAAGGCACTCTGCAGATCACAGGCCACTGTGCAGTGCCACTGATCACAACTGAAGCACATTCTCTTTTCTTATTAGGGAAGTTTTGGTGGGCAAGTTGGTAGGAAGACAAAATATAAAAGATGAAGCTTAAAAAATTAACATATCCATACTTAATTTTTAAAGTTTCACATGCAAAAATTCAAAATCACTCCAGATTTAAAAGGCCTTGGGACTTGAAGAGAAATAATATCATTTAGTCTAAGAAACAAGTTGGCTAAAGGAATTTAAATATTCTTAAAATCATATATTGTTGCTAAGTTAACCTGTGGCACTTATCCTTATCCTTTGCAAAATCCATATTTTTAAGACATAGAGTTACTGGAAGTGATTAAATAAAATGCTTCTCACCTCGTATACATTGAATTGGGACTGCCCTCTAGAAAGTTCCCGGTAGCTTGTTGTAAATTCTCCAATGATATCGTGACTAAAAGGAAAAAAGTATACATTAAGTCTAGTGATCGTGGAAAAAGCTTGCTATTATTATGCATGTAATAATTAGTAACTAAGAGATGGATATATCATTGTCCTCTAATTCAAAATCATGTATATACAAGTCTTATTTTTATTAATATTCAGATGTGTAGTCCACCAAAATTCATTTTTACATAGGTATATTAGTATTAAGATCTGCAATCTCAAAAATATTATTTGTTATTAAAATAATTATTTAATAGGATGAAAATTGGAGACACTCCAATTTACTCATCAATGAAGTAATCAAAAATATACAGAAATCTTCAAACTTTCCTGTGGCTGGGGGTAATAAGACACCACTACAGAAAGAAATGACATGCTAGCATGTCTAACAGTCACCAATCTGCTCTTTAATGACAGCAATTAACAAGTGTTTTGCTAGCACCAACCTGGTAATTCTAAACGTCATCACTACTTCTCGGGGGCCTTCTCAGTTTAGTGAGGAGGGGAAAGAAGTGAGTAACATGGGTGAGTTCTCACTGAGGCTGACCCACGCTTGCACAAAATAAACGTTCAGCACTCAGCCGCAGGGAGAGGACTTCTATTCTACTCCTCTGGAGTCAACGTAATGCCCAATACTATGCTGAACACACAATGCTCTCTCCCTTTCTCTCTCTCTCTCTCCGCGAGGCTGGCAGGGTGGAAGAGGGCGCCCCGCCACTCCCCGGCATCCCGCCCCACCACGACCCCCTCTACAGCTCGGCTGAGTCGCCTCGCCAACGAGCGAGTCTTGCAACCCGGGGCATTTTCTGGGGAGACGCCCAGTCTGAGGGCTGCTGGTACTGACGGGGAGGGACAGGCGTCCGGGACGGCCGGGTGAGCGGGTCCTGGCGGGGTGGGGGGCAAGGGCCGCGAGGCTGGCAGGGTGGAAGCGGGCGCTCAGCGTAGCACCACCTCGAGGGGACAGGGAGGGCCGGCCCGGATGGCTAGGGACGCTGGAAGTCTCGCAAGAGTACGAGCTGGGCCCCAGGGGCGCCTCCTGGAAGGGCATCCCGCTGCCCAGCGGAGGCCTGGCGACCAGGATGCCGGACCCGTCTCGTGAGCTGGCCCCGCTGCCCGGCCCAGGCGCGACGCCAACAGATGCTGCGGGGCTGGAGGCGGGAGACCCTCAGCCGGTAGCGGCCCGCGCGGTCCGCACCAGCCTCGACAGCCGCCGCCGTCGCCCACCCCGGCGCTCGCCGCTCGCCGCTCGCCGCTCGCCGCTCCAGGGCCTTACCGAGGCACTGCCCCACCGGCGTGCTGAACGGATTCCCCAGGAGGAACTCTATCTTGCACGGAAAGCGCGGCGGCGGACGGGGCGTCCAGTCTGCCCGCCCGGGTCTCCGCCGTCCCCAGCCGCGGTCCCGACCTGACTGACACTTGCCCCCGCCCCACCCTCAGGAACGCCGAGCCCCGGGCCCTTGACCACGCCCCCTTGTCGCGTCTCTATTGGGCAACGCCTACACAGCCCTCATCCGATTGGCCTTCGCCTCTACCTCAGTGAAGCTCCCACCCACCCCGCGGCGTCCGATTGGCCGGAGAGCGAGCTAGGTCGCTGGAGTCCCCGTCAGGCGTAGCGGCACCTCCCCTGGCCCGCCTCCGAAAGAGAGGCTTTGCGTGTTGATTCGTCCATATATCGGTCAAGCTAGAGAATCCTTAGTATTATTGGATAAAAGACGAGTCAATCACTTAAATAGGGACAGGGAGAGGAGGTGGATCTACGAAGATCCCCGCCCACAGAAAGTGCTGATTGGGTAAACGTTTGTTTTCTCTAAGCCTGGTTGGTGTGGTAGGATTTCCCCGCCCCGAGAACTGATCACGTGATGCGTCCACTTTCACCCAGGATGTCTACCTCTTAACTTCCCCTTAGCGACGGAGCGGCGGCGCTTGGTTCCCTAGCAACCGGGGGACGCTGTTGCTGCACAGACCCAGCCCGGAAGCCGGCGCCTGAGAGGAGAGGAGAGGAGACCCGGGTGGACAGCGGGGAGAGAGGTCGGTCCACTAGTGTGCTCCCCAGATAACCTCAAAAGCCCAGGTCTCCCGCGTGGGCGGTGGGGCCGCGAGCACCTGAGCTGGCACCCGCCCCTTCCCAGGTGTGCATTGTTAGCAGGAAGCGGGAGCCAGGAGCTCCCGGGACTCGAACCCCGGCACCCCAGCACGAGACGTGGGTGCCCCAGCGGTGTCCTAAGGGCTGCCGAATCCCACGCCCACCTCTGCGAAGTGAGCTCACGGCTCCTGGGCCAGCCACCTCACGCTGGCTTCGGCCGGCCACATCACTTAGTCTTGGGCTTTCTTTGGGTGAGGAAGGAGAGGGTAAGGGCGCAGGGCCAGAAAAGATTTTTTTTTTTTTTTTGACAGGCAGAGTGGACAGTGAGAGAGAGAGACAGAGAGAAAGGTCTTCCTTTGCCGTTGGTTCACCCTCCAATGGCCGCCGCGGCGGGTGCGCTGCGGCTGGCGCACCGCGCTGATCCGATGGCAGGAGCCAGGAGCCAGGTGCTTCTCCTGGTCTCCCATGGGGTGCAGGGCCCAAGCACCTGGGCCATCCTCCACTGCACTCCCTGGCCACAGCAGAGAGCTGGCCTGGAAGAGGGGCAACCGGGACAGAATCCGGCGCCCCGGCCGGGACTAGAACCCGGTGTGCCGGCGCCGCTAGGCGGAGGATTAGCCTAGTGAGCCGCGGCGCCGGCTAGATTTTTTTTTTAAAGATTTATTTTATTTCTTTGAAAGACAGAGTTAGAGGTAGAGCCAGAGAGAGGTCTCCCCTTCACTGGCCCACTCCCCAAATGACCACAACAGCCAGAGCTGCACCAATCCGAAGCCAGGAGCCAGGAGCTTCTTCCAGGTCTCCCACACTGGTGCAGGGACTTGGGCCAGCTTCCACTGCTGTCCCAGGCCGTAGCAGAGAGCTTGGTTAGAAGAGGAGCAGCCGGGACTAGAACCGGCGTCCATATGAGATGCTGGCACATCAGGCCAGGGCATTAACCTGCTGCGCCACAGCGCCAGCCCCTTAAACCTTTCCATACACAGGTGTGCTTGCTCTCCTGTCTGCTGATCATTCCTCCAGGTTCCGGCTGTCATCGTCAACCTCTGCACGTCCTGTGTGATCATTCTCCCTTGGCTTGGCTGGGAATGCAGGGTCGTCCCTGTTAGTAACTCCGCTGTGTGACCTTGGCCAAGTACCTTCTTCCCCTCCACCCGCGTATCTGAACCCTGTGCCGTGTCCCGGCCTGCAGAGCTGGCGTGTAATTCAATAGTGCGTGTGCGCAGAGTTCACGCAAACCCTGTTAGTGGCTGCTCCCCTCCTTAGTAATTCATGGGCACTGGGAACTGTGCGTCGCAGAGCCGATTGGCCCACGGTTCCTGTTTCCCAGGAAACTGCTGCACCTGCTTCCCGGCGAAGAGGCTCTTCAGGTCGCAGCGGCGTCGGACTTGAAGCTGCTGTCTCTGCCGCCTAACTCTGGGCTCACTGACGCCACTGACAGGCAAGTCGGCAGGGACCCGGCCTGGGGTGGTGAATTACTGACTGTATCCCCACAGCACAGGGCTGTTCGGGCCTCATCCCTGACCCGGGACAGCTGTGAGAAACCTTGTGCACAGTGGTAGTGAGTGTCTGGAACCCTGGGTACAGCTGAGCCATGCTTAGAAAGATGGGTCCATTTCTTACCTGGAAACTGGGGTTCGTCCTATGTGTAAATCGAGTCCCCAGGGAGCTCTCAAGTGTGACCCCCACCTCGGTCGTCACCAACCTCACTCCTCTTGGGGTTCTCAGTACTGTAGCTGGAATGTGCTTCTTAGAATTATTAAAGTCCAGGGGCCGGCGCTGTGGTGCAGCAGGTTAACGCCCTGGCCTACAGTGCTGGCATCCCACATGGGTGCTGGTTCGAGACCCAGCTGCTCCACTTCCGATCCAGCTCCCTGCTAATGGCCTGGGGAAGCAGTAGAAGATGCCCAAGTGCTTGGGCCCCTGAACCCACGTGGGAGACCCATAAGAAGCTCCTGGCTCCTGGCTTCAGATCAGCGCAGCTCCAGCCATTACAACCATTTAGGGAATGAACCAGCAGATGGAAGACCTCTCTCTCTCTCTCTCTCTCTCTCTCTCTCTCTGTCTGCAACTCTGCCTCTGAAATAAATAATCTTTAAAAAATAATAATTATTAAAGTCTGGGCATGGGTGGCTTAACCAGGGCCCAGGGTAAGTAGCCACCCCTGGCTCCTGACTCCAGCCCCGCATCAATGCAGACCCTGGAGGCAACAGGGGAGGGCTCGAGTGCTTGGGTTCCTGCCACCCACGTGGGAGATCCAGATGGAGTTTTTGGCTCTTCTGGCTTTGGCCTCAGCACAGCTCAGCCCAGCCCTCACCGTCACAGGCATGTGACGGCTGTGCTGCTTCCGTGGGCAGAAGGTGGGATAGCAGTGGCACGTGTGGCCAGGGCCAGGTTGGGAGTGGAAGGTGCATACCTGCGTCAGGTGCATCCAGGTGGGGGGCGAGGAGGAAGAATCAGTGAGGATGCCCCCTGTCCCACCTCACAGGGCCTGTATTTGATTTCCAGCTTTGCTTCCCCACTCAGCTTCCTGCTGGCCCACACCCCAGAAGCAGGAGTGATGGCGCGAGTGGTTGAGTCCCTGCTGCTGGTGCGGGAGACCTGGATGGAGTTTAGGGCTCTTGGCTTCACCCTCTCACCCTGCCCACCCCCTCCACTGGGAGCACCTGCTTGCACTCGCGTCCCCCCCTCCCCGCCCTGCCCCCCTCTGTCTCTGTTTCTGCTTGTCAAAAACAATTTTTTTAAGATTTATTTATTTATTTGAAAGGCAGAGTTAGAGAGAGAGAGAAAGAAAGAGAGAGAGGTCTTCCATCCATTGGTTCATTCCCCAGTTGGCCGCAACAGCCAGGGCTGTGCTGATCTGAAGCCAGGAGCCAGGAGCTTCTTCCAGGTCTCCCACGCAGGTACAGGAGCCCAGGCACTTGGGCCATCTTCCACTGCTTTCCCAGGCCACAGCAGAGAGCTGGATCAGAAGTGGAGCAGCGGGACTCGAACCAGTGCCCATATGGGATGCTGGCACTGCAGTGGGCGGCTTTGCCTGCTATGCCACAGCGCCGACCCCAAAAAGAAATGTAAGAGATCACAGAGACCTTAAGAGAAAGGGATGGGAAGAATGCCCACAGAAGGGGACACAGAACTCGCAAGGCCTGGACTCGGGCGCGTTAGGGACTGAAAAGCCAGCAGGAGGAAGACAGTGTCTGTCTCTGTCAGTCTGTCTGTCCTGTGTGTACCCCCCAGCCCCCACTCTTCCTCTCTCTGCCTCTGTGTCTGTTCCTCCTGTTCTTGGCTTCGCCCTGTGCCCGGCCAGGCCAGCTGTGGGGTCCCCACCTCTGCTGAGCACCCTCATCCCCGGTCCTGAGTCTCAGGAGGCAGGGACACGAGGTGGGCAGCTTGGGGTCAGTGCCTCACCGAGCACTGGACCTGCAGGGACCAGGCAACTGCCAGCCGGCAACTTGATCGGGGCTGCCAATGGTTGGCACCAAGAGACCTGGACGGGGAGGCCTGGCACCAGGCCACAGCCCAGTGGGACCAGCTGTAGCTTGGGGCCGAGAGATGGACCCCCGGCAGGTGGCCCGGTGCTTGCCAGGAGCACCCAGAGCTCCCTGGGGACACATGTACGGACCCTGAGGGGCAGCCCTCCGAGTTAAGACGCCGTCACAGACCTGGCATTGTGGGTTAAGCCGCCGCTTTGTAACGCCCACATCTCATATGGAGCGCTGGTTCGAGTCCTGGCTGCTCCACTTCCCATCCAGCTCCCTGCTAATGCACCTGAAAACAACAGACGCTTGGGAGACCCGGATGGAGTCCAGACTCCGTGCTTTGGCCTGGCCCAGCGCTGGCTGTTGTGGCCATTTGGAAGTGAACCAGCAGATGGAGGATCTCTCTCTTCCTCCCTCGTCTCCGCCCCCTACTTCCCCTCCTTCTCTCGCTGTCCTTCTTTCAAAGAAAGAAATCTTGGGGTTAAAAAAAAAAAAAAAAGGAAACGGAGAAAACTGTAAGAAGAAACCTCAGGAGAAGGCCGGCGCTGTGGTGTAGGCAGGTAACAGGCCGCCTGCAAGTGCCTGCAGCCGCTTAGGGGCTGGTTCGAGACCCGGCTGCTCCTCTTCCAATCCAGCTCTCTGCTGTGGCCTGGGAAAGCAGTAGAAGATGGCCCAAGTGCTTGGATCCCTGCATGCCCATGGGAGACCCGGAAGCTCCTGGCTCTCGACTGGCCCAGGTCTGACCATTGCAGCCATGTAGGGATTGAACCAGTGGATGGAAGACCTCTCTCTCTCTCTCTCTCTCTCTCGGTCTTTAACTGTGCCTCTCAAATAAATCTTTAAAAAAATAAAAACAAGGGAGACCTCAGCAGTGCCTGTCCCCTGATGGAGGAGGGGTGCGGGGCCTCAGGAGGGCGGGGCCTCAGGAGGGCGTGGCGCTGTCTTGCAGGGAACATGAGCCGGCTGCACAACTCCATAGAGCCGCGCGTGATGGACGACGAGATGCTGAAGCTGGCCGTGAGCGAGCAGGGGCCCGCGAGGAGGCCGGGCAGCTGGCCAAGCAGGAGGGCATCCTCTTCAAAGATGTCCTGACCCTGCGGCTGGACTTCCAGAGTGCGTGTCCATGTCCCCTGGTCCCCCCGCCCGGGGACGGGAGCAGCCGCCTTGCCCCTCCCCACCCTCCAGGAACCCACTGCGGGCCCCTGCACGGATGCGCTGAGGACGCCATACTTAGTGCCGTCGTCGTGTGACTGTCCACAGCACCCCTGACCTGATTGACAACAGAACAGATTAGAAACCCGTCCTGCTGCCAGTCTAAGCCCCGAGGGGACCCCACACTGGTGTGCAGCAGGGAGCTCCCAGGGTAGAAGCTAGGGGTCCTATGCAGCTGGCAGCTGGAGATAGGAAGCAGGGGCCCAGTAGCCTTGGTGGGCGGGGGCGGGGGCGGGGTGGCTGAAGAAAGGGCAGGAAAGCAGGAGGGGGCAGGAAGCAGGAGGGCGCAGGGCGCCTGAGGCCGAGAGGCAGCCCGTGGACGATGGGGCTGGGGACAGGTGGATCCCTCCCGCCTCGCGTCCCCAGCGGTGGAATGGGCGCCTGCAGCTCCCGACGGGAGACAGCCCAGCCGGGCAGAGCGAGGGCATTTCGAGAGGAAGCGGGGAGAGCTTTGCGGGGATCCTGAACCCCCCGTGCTTTGTGCACCTGCTCTGATCCTCATCCCTGCTCCGTCTTGAGCCCTCCAGGCTGCCCAGGCGCCCGGCCAGCAACAAGGAGGGAGCGGGATTCCCTGGTGGGCAAGACGGGGTGTGGTCCAGGCCGGCCTTAATTAAGGCCTGTGGCTGACCGCCCCTCCCCCGTCCTGGGTGCTCAGCCTTCGCCGCCAGGGCACCTAGCTTCTTCCTCCAGGGCAGGGCGAAGAAGGTGAGGCGTCTCGGTGCCGCCGTGCGCCGGCCCAGAAGCCCACGCGCCTCTCTCCTCTGGTCTTTGCAGACATCCTGCACATTGACAACCTCTGGCAGTTCGAGAACCTGCGCAAGCTGCAGCTGGACAACAACATCATCGAGAGGATCGAGGGCCTGGAAAACCTCGTCCACCTGGTCTGGCTGGGTGAGGCCCCTTCTGCGCATGCGTCTGCTCCCGCCCACCTGCCAAGTTGTGCCGCGCCCCGCCCCGCCTCCCCGCCTCTGCCCCCCACCCGGGAGACGGCACTCTCACGCTTGACCCTCAGCTACCTGGGCACGGTCCTTAGCCTGGGCACGGCTGCTGTCTTTCAAAAGACCCGGGATCCACACTGGACAGAGCACAGCACAGACGGGCCATTCTGCTCCCCCGCCGGCCTCCAGGCTGGGCGGGGCGCTCAGGGGGCTGCTACAGACTCCTCCCCTTCAATTTCCACTCGGATTGACAGGTAGCCACTGACTGGCAGGGCCCCGGGAGCAAAGCAGCAATAGTCATCGCGGAAGCCGGTGGGCCTGTGCGTGGGCTCCGTGAGCTCCGTGACCCCACACAAGCACCCAGCACCCCCACTGTGCAGATAAGCAAACAGAGGTCACAGTGCCTAAGAGCGACATGGGCTCTGGCCCTCCCTGCCCAGGCCGGGGTGGGGAGGATGAGGCCGTTTGGATGAACAGGGGCCATGCACTGGCCTCCCAGGGGCATCTGGTGAGGGGCAGGTAGGCACCCAACAGGGAGAAAAGGATGGGCCTGCTGCGTTCCCACAACAACCCTAGGATACAGGTGCCTGGTACAGTCTACGCAAGAGGAGCCAAGGCTCAGAGAGGCCAAGGCGCGTGCCCAGAGCCAAGGACCAAGCAGTAGCAGTGCTGGGACTCGGACCCACACCAGTCTGACCCCAAAGCCCATGTTCTTCCCGCCCCCAGCACACACACACACACACACACACACACACCTTACCCAGCATTCCTTACTGCTGATTCCTGGGCACGGTGGCCTGTCCACACCATCAGGAGGCCTCTCTCTCTCTAGCCAGCCCTGACCACCGCCCCCACCCAAGGCCACCCTGCACGGGCCATCTGAATGCCACGGGTTTGTTTTTTTTTTTTTTTCCTTTTAAAGTTTTTGAGAGCTTCCATCTACAAGTTCTGCACCCCCCAGCACAGCGTCTGGGGCCGGGCTGGGCCAAAGCCAGGAGGCAAATGGGTGGCAGGAACCCACGGCAGGGACCTCCCAGGTCTGCATTTAGCAGGAAGCTGAGTCAGGACCAGAGCTGGGTGTGAAACCCAGGATCTCCACTGTGGGACGCGGGCATCTTAATTGGCACATTAGCCAGCAGCCCAGCCCCCACACCCACACGGGACACAGGGCCGAGGGTGCCAGGTGTGCCTAGTGTCCTGCGTCTGTGGGTAGCTTGGAATTGGCCACAGTGGGAGTGGGAC